AGTCCTCTATTACCTGGGCTTCTCCTTCTTCTCCTTCCACAGTGCGGACAGACCGACACCGGAAACCTTGACGACCTTGAAACGCACACCGGGAATATCACCCTTGGCCTTGCCCTTACGACCGAAACCAGCAAGGAGGACCTCGTCGTTCTCATCGACAAAGTTCAAGCAACCGTCGTTGGGAACTGCCAAATTATTAGCCCGTGCTCTCATGCTCGCCACAGGCTCATCTCGGAGCTCTCTTCAATCTCCAGATAGTGACATACCGAAAGCGGTGACCTTCTTTCCGTTCTTGATCAATTGCACACGGACACACTTTCGGATAGCGGAGTTGGGCTGCTTGGCCTCAACACCGACCTTCTCGAGGACTATGCCCTTAGCGTGGGAAGATCCACCGAAGGGGGAGGACTTGAAGGCGGTTCCGAGAAGACGCTTCTTGTAGTGGAGGTCCGCCCATCGTCCCTCGCGGCGATGGTTGCGGAGCTTGCGGGCGGCGTTGAGACCTCTTGGCTTTCCTGATGGTATTGTGAGCAACTACACAATATACGACGGTATCCAAGACGGCGAAGGCGCGGGATCGTGCATTTGTCGTCGATCGGGGGCTGCTGGAGAGAGTAGTTGCGTACCTTTACCCATGGTTGCGGTATTGACGACGGGTGTGCTGGGGAGAGTGTGGTTAGTATCGCAGACGTCGAAGTATTTTCGAGAGCGGCTGGAATCAGTGTGCGCCAGAGCCAAGCCCCACAGCTTAGCGGCGCTGGCCTGCAAACGGCCTAGCGCCACCACGCCATCTTATCTTATCGGGCCATCGTCATCCCATCTGGGGGAGACAGGAACGTCAACTGTCAATACCGAACAAGTCACAGGTTCAGCTTGTTGGCAGTTTTAGAAGCTGCAGAGATTCAATCAAGTGCCCGTCGTAAGACTCGTACAGGGTCCACGATACTACAACTAGTATTTTACGTTACGCGCCTAGCTCGCGCGTCACTATGGCCTCCCAAAACGTCAAGAAAGTCACCAAGACGCAAACTAATCGCCTACCTGCTCCTGCCCTCTTCGTCGGGCCACCATCGCATAATGCTTCCAACACTTCGTTACACGAGATTCGATCCCCTACAAAGACGCCCTTAGTCCGCCAACGTTCACTGCTCTCCCCAGATTCGCAGCGACCTCTTCCACCTACGACAACCAACGATGGCGACCACCTCAGTCTTACTTCCACAAACCCTTCCGCACCCTTCCAACGGCGACAAAGACAGCATAGCCAAGCAGCGGATGCCGAAGCATCGTCACGCGCCGAAGCAATATGGGCCGAGATGCAGAACACATTGGAGGAGGTGGAGCTGAGCGCCATCAAGGGACCAGGTATGACCGTCTTCGGTTCTGAACATTCCCGAGCCCTTGATGAGCTGCGAAAAGCGCAGATAGAACTCGCGAAAGCATGGGCACGCTCAGAAGAGGATGAACAGACACCCGAACAACAGAAGAAGTCACAGGATAGCAAAGCGAACGATCTGCAACCACAGAGCCTTGCACACCCTCATGACGGGGCAGGATCCGGAAAGGGTGAGAAGTTGTTTGATCGCATCAAGCTTGAGGAGGAGACAGAAAAAGATATCGAGTTGAGCCGGAAGAGGAGAGAGGAGAATGACAGGTACTTTGAGAAGGTAAACAAGGGTGTGCAAGAGGTCGTTGTAAGGTTGGAAGAAGTTGCAAAGGCGATGAGGGGAGTTGAGAGCGAGAGTAAAGAGATCTGGGGGCATGGCAGTGAAGAAAGCGTGGACACTGCAAGCGTCACGACGGCACCGAGCGTTACCTGAGATGGCAAGCAACTACACACAACAATTGCGCAAAACCACCTATTTATGCACGGGTCAGTGTAGACCCAGATACCTATTGAGGTTGTATTCTCCAGACCCAGAAGGATCCACACGCCTCCATACCAAGACGCCACACATATTTCAAAAGGAGCTCTGGTTGAAGTCAGATAAGCTTTCACTGAAACATTCTAGGGTTAGTAGCAAAATGTTAGAAAGGTCGCGTGCAAGACGATCAATAAGACCTGAGACACGTAGCAAAAGATGTTACACACGCGGTGAGTATGATACACTGGGGCTGCTACACCGTATAGTGTAAAGGCAGCGTCATAAGAATTCATATAGCGTTGTATAAAGTCTGGAGCTCAATAGCGAGAAAACCACATCTCTGTAATTTTCTCTCTTAACCTGATCAAGGTTAGATTCTACAATATCTGCTCTTGTTCTCCTCGTCTAGTCTTTGTTTTACCGTCTACAAGAGGTAGCGGTATTCCGGGTTCAGGTCGCCCATTTCGGTCTTTTCGTACTCCGTCAACCCAACATCCCTGACGCTCTTGTTCCTCTTCCGATTTGCCCAGCTGCACATGACAAAGTACGCGCAGCAACTCAATGCACTGAGGCATACAAAACCGATAGCGATTGAGTATCCTCTTGTGTACTTCGGCGCATCTTTCTTCAGGAATGAATAGACTGCAATAATACCACCAATGTTACCTAGGGTGTTTAATTAGTTTTCAACATCTCATATGGTGTACATCAGGAATTACTCACCAAAACCAACCTGCCATGCGCTTCCCACAGCTCGACGGTGGTGGCCACCCAAGTTCATGTTGAACCAACATACGATGACTGGCATAGCGGTGTAGGCCCCCATCGCTACTAGGAAGAGCGCCGCGTACTGTAGGTTGCGATTGTCGTGCACAGAGATGAGAATAGCGAAACCGGCGATACAGACAGCAATAGGGAAAATGGCGAACATGAAGCGGTGCTTGAGCCTGTCTGAGAACCACGCAACAAGCATCGAGAAGCCAAACGCGGCAGCCCATGGAGGAACACTGTGAAGTTGTGTTTGGATAGGAGAGTAGCCGAAATCCTGGATAATAGTCGGGGAGAAGTAGGCATATCCATAGGCGGGAACGATCAAGCCAAAGTACATGAGTCCGCCGAGCAGGATTTTGGGATCTTTGAAGATGTTCGCCACATCCTTGGCTTTTATGGGTCGTTCGCGCGCGGAGCGCCCTTGATCGATCTGGAGCCTGGCTTTGACGAAGGCGCGTTCGGGCTCCGAAAGCCACTTAACTTCCTCTGGAAAGTTTGGAAGCAAGAAGAAGAATGCGAAGGAAACTAGAACGGTCAAGAGTCCTTCGAGAATAAAGATCCATCTGTCGGAGTCAGTGTATGTTGGGTGTGCACTTGCACATCTAAAACTTACCTCCACCCACGGTATCCCGAAATACCTTCCATCTTGCCAATTGCAGAGGCTAACAACCCGCCAAAAGCTCCGGCCAGAGTTGTTGAGCTGAAGAAGAACGAGTATCGCTTCTGCGCCTCGTGTCTCCGGTACCACATGCCGATTAAGTAGAACGCACCGGGGAACATGCCGGTTTCAAATAGACCGAGAAAAAATCGAGTCGCAAGTAAACCAGCGTAGTTCTGCACGAAGCCTTGTAGCATAGTTACAAGTCCGAAACCAAACATGCAGATACTGAGCCAGACTCGAGGCTTCATCTTCTTGAGGAGCACATTGGAAGGGATTTCGAACAGAATGTACGGAATGAAGAAGATGACCAGGGCGGTATTGTAGCGATTGTCCCGTACTAAGTCGAGTTCGACGCTGAGTCCAAAGACGTTCGCGTTTGCGATATTGACACGATCCAGGAAGGCCAGAAGATACATGATGCAGAGAAAAGGAATGACATGGAGGTCGATTTTGGCCACGAGTTTGGATTCCGTAGTGTTTGGTGGACACTGAATGAGCGCCGGGTCGTCATCGTAGGTGTTGTCGTAACGAGGGACAGGGTCCGTCTTCTCAAAGTCCGAAGACGGTGCATCTTTTGCAGATGATCAGCGTGATCCAGTGAATCTAGGAATACGTCGTGTTGCATGGAGGGACGCCTTGAAGAAGCAAGAGACGTGAATCTGACGATAAGCTTGCAAGCTGACAAGATTCGTCAAGCATTCCGGGGGAGTGATCCGAGACAACTTGGCAGTGTAATGACGAGATGCAACTTACTGTCTTTCTTTCCAAACATGATGGAAGCTGACTTGTTCAATCCACCTGGTTGGTCAACTAGTGCACCGGGGTAGATCCGACGCCAGGTTCGCGCTTCCACTGCACTTGAAACAGGCGGGAGTGAAGAGAATATAACGTGGAAAGCGGATAACGAGATAGAGTCATTGCGAAGGCCGAGGTCGCTGGTGACCCTAGCACTAGATCTGACCACTCTCGCATCCTCCACGCTCGCTAACCCCGCATCTTTGACTTTGCCCTTTTTCCCATGCGTAAGCGATGCAATTCCTCATTAGGAAGCTGCTCTGCCGTTCCCCAGCGCCAAGTCACGGGTACACAAGGAGATGGCGCAGACAGCATGCTGCTAATCATCCAGCACTCGGCTCTAGCAACAAGCAAACTGGACAGGCGACTTTGGCCGGCTCAAACCTGTAAATAAGGCCCGTAAGCGTGCGCCTCGCGTGTGATGTAACCATGTGATCAGCGGTGTGGCGTCGGGCCTAATGGGAAAAAGATGCATCGGAGCAGATTGATGCGGCATAGCGAGCGCGCATCATTCCGCATGTCAGTGTCGTGAAGAGTTCCTGGATCCATATCTCCACTGGCAGACGTATTTTTTTTTACCAGGTACACTTCTAGGCTGATGTCAACTGGACACTGTAGATGTGATGGCTACGGGTGGTCGCGCTGAGTAAGGGCCAGGTTTTATATCCGAAGGGCCAACCTTGTAGTCGGGCAAGTTTGGTTCGGCAGCCGACCTCAACTCAAGCCTGGGCGCGCGAAAGTCTCAGCGTCGTCCACACTCCTTTCCTTTCTTTCCTTCAGCCTCTCGACCGTCCACACTCCAATCCGCCATCTTGCCAGCACCTTATGCAAGGCCCGAGCCTATACGTGGAAGTGTGACTGCGAGCGACCCGTTACGATACCCAGAGCGGCTGGCCTGCTGACCCGAGATGGTGAATGCCAAATATGTCGCCTTTACAGTCAACAAGCAGACTCCATTCCTGCAGACACCGGATCAAGCCTACGCAACCGTGATCAACTGTCGGCGCCCCGGCGGGAAGCGTGCGGGGCTGGCGCAAGAGGTACGGTCTCACAATGTGCCCTTGGCAATGGTCGAAGGCAGTTTGAAGCGCAAGCGGGGCGACGAGGGCAGAAAGGACTCTGAGCAGGCGGCAAACCCTGCTGTCTACTCGGGAAACGATGCGACGACTCCACTCGTTGCGGCACCGGCCCGCCAGCTGCTAAATCAACAGTGGCAGCAGCGCAAGCCGACGAGATTACGGAGGGGCAAGATCTTGTCCAAAGGCGTCGACTTGGACTGTTGGTTCATCATACTTTCGTATTCGGACCCTGCGCAACTGCTGGAGATGCGTAGCAAGATTGCCTCATGCTATCGGTTTTTGCGGGATAACCCCATGCTCTGGAAGCATAGCAGGGATTACTACTACGGAAACGACATGCCGGACCCACCTCCAGGTCTCACCGAGTTCCAGTTCGCCCATCTGCGTCATGGGCATGGCTGTATGGACTGCGGTGCGCCAAACACTCGCAAGACGTTCTGGGCCTTTCTGCGTCGCATGTGCAAAGACTGTCTCAACAACCAGGTTGTCAAGGAATACGATGCAATTGCCCAGCTGCGGGGCCTAAACGGCGAAGACGTTTCTTACATCCGTGCTGCTCTGCCCAGTGGTATCTTCGATTCTTGGGGCAACTTTGTCGGCGTGGGGCCCGCGAGTACGCATGCGTTGAAGACCATCTACCTGCGGTCAGATGTACAGAAGCTCGTTGCCGAGTTCCACAGGGAGTCAAGAGAGAAGACTCCCAACACAGAAGAGACTGCCGCATGGTGGACTGAATGGCTGGCTGCAAAGGCCAAGCAGGTAGAAGAGCGCCAGATGTTTGCAAAGAAAATGGAGCAATGGGAAGAGATGCAGCGAACAGCTAGGACCTCCGACTATAACGCAAAGAAGTCACGGCGCAAGAACTTTTTCAAAGAAAAGGCGTCGCAACTGACTCCGCCCATCAGCGTCAAAGAGCTAGAAGCCTGCCCGGCCTACAAGCGTGCCATCACCATTCCTAAAGATCCCAATAACACGTCCTGGGATCTCCTCAAGCCCAAAATCGTCAAGGAAGCAGCCGAGAACGCAGCCAAGAGGAATATGGAAGAGTCGCGACCACCAACAGCATCCAACTCTGGCATTTCCACACCTACCAGCAGCCTAGACGGTTACCCACACCCGCATCCCTATCTCGGTATGATCATGGGTATGCCTCCGCACAACGGTCATCTGTATTGATCATTTTCGTTTGTGCATTTCACGTTTGGATGAGTAATACACGAGAGAGGTAATGTTTCGGGTAATGATCGCATTCATGTCATGGCATTGGAGTTGTTATTCATTCTGGTTTCTTCACGCACACAAACTGAGTGAGCATTTCCTTGTAAGGCGTTAATCAAGACTTGGGATTGCATCGAAGGACAGCGGATGGGAGGCGTTGACCGTGTTGGCTTCTTTTTCATCACCGCTACGAACGCCCTGGATATTCGCAGTAATTGAACTCATGTTTTACTTGACAAATCTCGTGCATGGAGAAACAGTGAAGTACCACTATTAGATCGAGAAAACTACCTCTTTGAGCGATGCACCCACTTTTGCCGTGCATGCCGCTCATCGGAGAGGAACGGCATGTGGGCATGGCATGAGTCAGTCTCGGCGGCTTAGTACACGAAAGCTCTGGTTGGCCACCGTGTCTACCCAGTATGGCAAGTACCACCGTGATAAGAACGAGGGGATGAAGAGAGTGAGGTTTGCTACACGACGAGTAGAAGGTGACGACATGCGCCGCCCAAGAGATGGAATGAAGATGCCGCAGAGCCTCATCTGTTACCCCTCATTTGGCTGGCTGGCCTGCGTCGATCGATGCGGCCACGGCGAATCACAGCGTGTGGAAGTCGGATTATGCACGAGGGCAACGCCCAGCCCTTTGAGGCTACAAAACCACGGTTTTCCCTGCCTAATAGCTCCAACTCTGTTGTCTGCCAGATAACTTGGACAAAATTTCCCAATCGGCGAAACATGGCTTCGCGATCGGACGTGTGTCGCGGTGGCATCAGATATCGTAATCCCAAGGGTCCAGACGGTTATGCCCCGTAATACATCTGATTGGTGCAGAGGTCATCAGAGTGGGTCTTTGCCGTTGTTTCCAGAAAGAAAGATTGTCGCCATCGGGTGTCCGAGGCATTGAGAACATTATCTTTAAAAGCTTTCCCGCGCCTACGACCTGGTTGCTTCTTCGTTGTTACTCCCTTCGATCTTACTGCATTTGTGCAAACGCCAATTGACCTCAGAGGCAAATTGAGCTTATCAACACACACCTCTCGACTTGTAGCACAATGGCATCTGCCTCACGAAGCTTCTCCCGCGCCCTGCGCACCGCCGCTCCCTCGTTCCGTACCACCTCAACTCGCTCCTCTGCCCGCTTCGTCGCACCCACACAGAATGCCTTCCGCAGCCAGCAACGCGGATACGCTTCTCAGCAGGAAGGACCAGACAAGCACGAGGGCAACCCAACTGGCCTAGCCTGGGGTGCTGGTGCCCTCCTCGTTGGTGCTGGTGTATACAGCCTGTACACATACAAGCCCGAATTGTTTGGTCAGACCAGCAGCAGGAAGATCTTCACACCTAGGTTCGAGGACTACCAGAAGGTCTACGATCATATCGCAAAGAGGCTCGAGGAGCACGACGACTATGACGATGGCAGCTACGGACCTGTACTGCTGCGTCTGGCATGGCACGCTTCGGGAACGTGAGTACCATGATTTCTCTTCCATCAAACAGGGGTGCTAATGAGCAACAGCTTCGACAAGTTGACCGGAACTGGTGGCTCCAACGGTGCTACTATGCGCTTCGCTCCCGAAGGCGACCACGGCGCCAATGCTGGTCTCAAGGCTGCCCGCGACTTCCTTGAGCCCGTCAAGGAGGCTTTCCCGTGGATCACATACTCCGACCTGTGGATTCTTGCTGGTGTCTGCGCCATCCAAGAGATGCAAGGTCCCAAGATTCCATACCGAGCTGGACGCTCCGACCGCGACGTCTCCTACTGCACGCCCGACGGTCGTCTGCCCGACGCAAGCAAGGACGCTAGCCACATTCGCGCCATCTTCGGCCGCATGGGCTTCGATGACCGCGCCATGGTCGCCCTCTCTGGTGCACACGCCCTAGGCCGTTGCCATACCGACCGCTCTGGTTTTGACGGCCCCTGGACCTTCTCCCCTACTACCCTGACCAACGACTACTACAAGCTCCTGGTTGAGGAGAAGTGGTCATGGAAGAAGTGGAACGGCCCCAAGCAGTTTGAAGACGTCAAGACCAAGAGCTTGATGATGTTGCCGACCGACATGGAGCTTGTCAAGGATAAAAGCTTCAGGAAGTACACTGATTTGTACGCAAAGGACAACGACGCTTTCTTCAAGGACTTCTCTGAAAGCGTAATGACGCTGTTCGAGCTTGGTGTACCATTCCAACAACCTGAGGATCAACGATACGTCTTCAAGAGCTCTTTCGACTAAGTTTGTACAAGAGAGTGCGAGGGAAGATTGGGGTTTTACTTTGAGCCAGAGATATCCATCTAGATTATTAGACCGTTGCTTTTCTTAGGCAGCATGTGCTAGATCACTTTCGGAGATTACTTGTTTAATAGTCCGCATTGTAGACTTTTGAGCATACAGCACAAGAACAAGATTTTTGAAACGTTATACACATTTACTGAGTTCTCGATCGGGAAGTGAGGTAACGGCGACTATAACCGTATATGTGACAGTATGCATAGTGTTTTATGCCTCGCCATCCTACCGACATCTATGCATACTGTCTTTTTGCTAAAGCAGATGGTCTTCATCTTCTACAGTTCTGTAATCACGTCTGTTTTGGTCTTAGGAGTGATATGTCCTCATTCAATGGCGCTTCAACTCGCCGCCCCCTCAGTCACTCTTCAGCGCATTCGCAAGCTGTGCCGTCTTCTTTTTCCAGTACGCCTCATGATCCTCTTCAATTCTGCAGAAATCACCCATCTCCTGGTTGCCTAGCTCCGTCACCATTTTCTCCAGCTCCTTAGTCTTGCCTTCAGATAAATCTGGAATGAGAGGCAACGTGCCGTTGCGATCACTTGAAGGTTGATGGATAAAATCTGGGAACTGATCTGTTGGCGTGGCGTCGTACTTGTCACAAACGCCTGGTGCTTCTTCTTCTTCTTCTTCTTCTTCGAGAAAAGTAACACGCCTTTTGCCGACAAGAGGTTTGTAGCGTGGAGAAAAGCTGTCGTTCTCAGGAATGAACAGAGTGTCTTCAGCGTCGGTGGCTTCAAATGGAGATGAGGAAAGTGGCAAGGTCTTCTCATACAATCCTTGTTCAGTGAATAGCATCTCTGCCATCGTTTCGTCGCCCAGACATTTAGCTCTCAGCTTCCAGATCTCACTCACGACAGATTCCCACTCTTTCTGCAGCGTTCCCAGCTTCTTCGTCTCTTTGGCAATCAACTCGTCATAGTATAGCATACGAGTTTCCAGTGTCTGCACAAACCGTACACTCTTTCCTCTACTGTCGATACGCCGCAGTGATAGCTTGAACTGAGAGATGGGTTGATACAGTTGTGTGGCTAGACGTTCGTACTTTGCTGGGCCGGAAAGCCTTAGGGGCGAGGCGTTGGAATTTTGCTGACTGCTGTTCGGGGTGATCGTTCGTAGAGTACCGTCGTAGAGGTTATGGAGAAGTGAATCGAGAGTTTTGGTGATGTTGAGTGAGGTAGTGTTGTAAAGATGGCGGCGGTACTCGTCGCTAGCATCTGTGTGGAATGGTATTAGTTCCCTGTACGTCAATAAAAGAATAGTTGTGCAGCACCTTTGAAGAACACATTCAGAGGGCGCCTTCCCGAGGATCTCTTTTTTCCTCCACTTTTCTTTATGCTTCGTGGGGAAGAGCGTGACTTGGCGCTCAGCAATGTCGTAGCATTAGCGTCTTCGCCGGTAAACTTTGAGTTTCTATGAGTTACCTGGAGTGTACTGTTTCTTTTGTCAATCTTATTGTTTTGCCTCTTGAAGACGGTGGCAGCTGAAATTGTCTTTTTCACTCTTGCGAGCGATATCTTCTTCGCTGGTAGGTCCACGTTACCGCGCATTCTTAGAGCGGGTTCAGTACGCTCAACTCCCATCCTAAGTGGCATCGATCAGGTGCGGATGACGTATTATATGTGTCGAGAGGTACGAAGCCGAGCGTGGAAATGAATCCAAGACTGGCCAAGGTTCGTCGTGTGCTCCGGTTATCTGGAGGAAGTCGCGCCCGCGTTGAAGGGAAAGAGAATCCAGTTATGTAGAACATGACAAATTGCAGAAAAGAAGTGTCTTCAAAATAGTGGCATTCACGTTATCAGGTTGTCTTGGAAAATCCAGCAATGCGGGTCGCCGCATACCTTATTCGTCGCAAACGTATACATTCTTGTTGTTACAGAGGCAGTTGCCAAGCGTTTACAGTAAATGCGGTATTGTATGACACAGTCTTTACACACCTTTCATGCTTCGTTGTTGCGTCATGTATTGCTTATGGTGCCTGTCCGTCCGCGGGAACGACTACACCTTTCTTCTCCAGCATCTTCGCAAGCGATCCGTCTTGGTGCATAGACATGAGGATGTCGCAGCCACCGACAAACTCCTTGTCGACGTATAGCTGTGGTATAGTCGGCCATTCAGAGTATTCTTTAATACCTGTTTTACACCTGTCAGCCTGCATGGTTGCATATATTGTCCTGCGGTGACCCGAGACGTGCATCGACTCGAGTTCAATAGTCTCAATGCCAGACTACGGTGTATAATCGGAGCGACGCACCTTGCCTAAGATCCTGATCCTCTAACACGTTGAAGGCAGTAAACTTCTCTGGATCAACCCCCTGCATACCCAAGATCTGTATGCTAGCTCTCGAGAAGCCGCATTGTGGTGTCTCTGGTGTACCCTTCATGAACAAAACAACGGGCGATGATGCGACAGCCCTGTCAATCGCGGAACGGACTTCATCAGAAAGCAATCGTGCTTGGAATGGTGTGAGGAATCGTGCCGAGGGGATGGGGCGAGCTGTGCTTGCGCGGGTTGCCGCTCGGAAAGCCTAGTAATTGTTAGGTGGGAGATGATAACTACACGTGAATTTCAGGGACTGACTGAAGGGATTGCACGTCTTGTGAACATCGTGGGTGATTGAAGTGGTGTTGACAAGAAAGTCTGGTGATGCCACCACCTCCGCTGTTCGCCGCACCCGAAGTTTTGGATGAGGTCAGAACGCCAAGGCCGCTGATTCGCCAACCTCCCATTCGTTCTTTTTCCTTCCTTGCGCAAATCGAACCATTATTAATCGACATGTGGACAACCAAAGCAAAGGATCCAACTCAGTACTCATCGGAGGGGCCAGAACCGCAGTTCGTTACGTACTGAGGTAAGAGTCGCGTAAAGACAACTCCACCTACAACCATGAAGACGGCTGCTACCAGGCTCTCCACAAATACCAGGAAGACCATCAAAGTCAGGCTTTCAGTCCGACTTGACAGCGCCCTGGGCCAAGCTCACAGCCTATAGCAGCGTGAAGTAGTTATCACTAATAATGCTTGATGCAACGCGCACAGGTAAAGGGATGGCTAGCAAGATATGATAAAGACTTACCACTCGTAGCCTGATTTCACGCAAACCGAATACCTATATAGTATCTGATGTCCGATACAGTTATCTGCGGAAGTACCCGAACACCAAGTCGATATCAAGTCACAAGCAACAGCAGTCGCCGCTTCTGCAGTCACGTCATATAGGAGATATACTCAAGCGGACCAATACAAGCCCCAGAGATGACTAAAGATAGCAACTGCGTCTAAACATCGCTCAGAAATGCGCCGACGCCTTTAACAGCTTTGGAACAGACGGTTTTGTATCTAGTTGACACTAACAAAGCTATTGACAAACAAGTCTGTACTTGGATGGTGGTCGCCCAGATGATCCGCCTCTTCATCAAATGGGAGAGAACAAGAGATCTCTCGCCTATGTGACATCCCAACAAACAGAAGAAGATCGATGCCGATTTATGGGGCTTACCCATACTCTTCCAATCCCTACTACCGCGCGACGAGGAACATGACGGTGGTTGGGACGAATAGTGCAAAGTCTGTGAGATGGCGACATGGAACGACGTAAGGAGTAGTGAAGGTGGCTTCGCTGTGTCATTCGAGATGTTTGCGAAGAACGGAAAAGTCACAGATATCGCGCCGATAAGGATATTGATGAAGAAGCCTAAATTTGGGAGCTGGAAAGTGGAAGGATGGATACATGCTACGGAAGCAGGTACTTACATCACTACCCGCTCACGTATTGCGTCAAGACGCCGTCAATAAGCGGTCCGATAGCCATGCCTGTCTAGCAGAATTCGTCTCATGAGTAGCTTTCAATATTCTTAAAGTCAGTCATAACCACTGAATTCCAAACACTATGCCTTTGCAAACTACTAACATTGTCAGTCCTAAAGTCGCGGGGAGAATAAATATAGCACCCAAGGCGGAACGCCGTGCCTGTGACTTACAAGACCATTTATGTAGAGGCACTATTCTTGTGACAACAGTCAACACCCCCTTCTCTAGTCATAAAACCCCTGTTCCAGTAACAGCACGATGAAGAACAGGGGACGTAGACGAGGTTGAGACAGCACACCGTAAAGATATTAGTTTGAAGATAAAGATAGAGGTGAAGAATTTGTGCTTTGCGCTAAAGTATGTGTAGTTTTAATGCTATATGAGCTTCTGTAGTGCTGTAGTGAGGTATAAGGTGATTACCTTAGAGCACGTAAGGCACTTCTATACCATCTGATACTACATACATTCACTTTATATCTTTACCTAAGGACAAGGTTCAACTTCTATGTTAGTATCCTAGCATCTCGCTATTCCCAATAATACGTATTTTTACAGTCTGTGAAAGCCCCTTGTCATGTATGGTATAGCGTGGAGGATGGGATCAAGGAAGTGGCTGTTAGTGGCATTTTTAGTATGACTTGATCGATATGATCAAGGCCCATGTAAGTCATCCGTACTTACCCAGCTGTAATGCTTAAATTTGATAGAACGGTAACGAAGACGTAGGATCATACCACATAAGGCCGACTATAACTCGAGCCCGCTAATACACTCATTTTTCACTGCCATAGTCACTCCCTAATAGATTAGGAGCCGTGGTTTCCAAACCTTCCTCGAACATGCCATTGCACATATGGCTAGTGTTTTTTTTTAGGAATTAGGTATCCGTTTGAGATGCGATCATGGCTACGTCTCATATCGTTCTGATCTCCTCGGCCTGAATCCGCTATACTGCATCGTGAGTTAAGGTCGGCGGCGGAGAAGATTGCATTCCCTTCACCTCGGGGTGTCATCTCGATTCTTTGGTCATAGTTCTTGGGCGTACCTAGGTGTTTGCCGTCTTCTTCCGTTGTCAGGTGTTGCAATACGAGTGCGACGTAAGATATTCCTACCTAGGTATAATCAGTTCTAAGGTCTAGCCGACAGGCGAACGATTGCAAGCTGCAAGTACAGAAATGATCCAGAAGAGAGACTCAGGATAGAATCTACTAGAGTAGAAGCAGAAAGACGAGAGAATGATCGAGTCGTAAGTTGCATGACTCATATTTGCAGATCAAATTCCGCGGCTGCTTCCTTCTGATACGCAAGGGCTGTTGTGCACCACTCAAGCAACCTTAGTACCTAGATACCCAGCAACGGGTCGGGCAGATTATTCCGAACCTAATGTGCACTCCCCAGGATCTGCGCGAAGCTTGGCGACCCAACGTTCACTGAAGAACATGGCTTAATACCACTACTTAAATAGTTTTATCTTGCCTGCTCAAACAGACGCATTGAACATAGTCGCTATACCTCGTAACACGTTGATTATAACAAGCTGACTAGACGATTGTTTCTGATCAAGAATCGATATGCCACGTTTCTCATAGTTGCAGTGACGCTATTGAAGCGCTACCACCAATTACAGGGACAATACCCTTAGAGTCATGACAATCAGCGCCGAATTGAGCTTCCTCGACAGTTGCCAAAGTAGCTCTGTGACAACACAAACATGACGCAAGAGATGTAATGCTTCCGAACAGGAGGCCAGTGCCCAACCCTTGAGAATGTTCACAGGTTTCGATGTGTTGATAGGACACATTTGGTCAAATCTATAAGATTATCCCTAGACTTAGGATAGCTTACCTGTAGAGTATTGAGCGACTAATAATCCATAAGTGCGATACTAGGTCTCCTCTCCTAGATCGAGGTGATGCTAGAGTCAGATCAATCCAACCTGTCTACGCAGTGCGAGATGGGCAACGCAGTACATGTACCCTAGAGAACGAGATAGATTTACTCCTCAACTTCAAGATATTTGGTTTATGATTCGCGTCTTTTTTCTTGGTAAAAATGCTCATCAGGCGGCAAAGGGACGTAATGTCTTGGACGTGTTGTTTTTGAATGGGGTTCGTTGAACTCGTGGATGCAGTGGCTGTTTGTACGGCAATGACTTGGCCATGAGGTCGTAAGTCGAGACTGTTTGCGGCACGGAGTGTTTGAGATGCGGTCGAGAGATCGATATAGGTTGTCTGTAGTGGGTAGCTGGTTGTTGGAGAGGATGCTAAAGCTATGGAGCTGGTGTAGGTTGTGTGAAAGGGTAGAAGAAAGTCTAGGGCACTTGACGGCTACGAGTAGGTCCTTTCGCTTGGCCGGAAATTTGCAGCACGGCTGGACGACCTCAGGCCTCCCGATTGTGTTTTGGACTTGGCCAATTTATCCGTTGTGATACTTGGCCCAAGCCCGACGGCTCAAGGTGAACAAGGTAGGTAAATCATTCAATCAGTCAATCAGTCAATCAGTCTCCTTCGCCTCGCTACAGCGGCTGCGAAGCATCTTGCCGAAGACACGCGAAGATTTGATAAGCATCGACCCCTCTCGTTGCTGTCACGCTGGCCTAGTCATATTCCCGCTCGTAGTGACGTCTCGATCGCGGGAAACTAATAGTCTGATAAGCTAGCCTTCAGATATCGACGATGATTACGCTTCCGCGAGTGGACCTACGTTACACTGCAGTTGGTCTCGGAAAATCTAAAACCGA